TTCTGTTTCACTCTTATACTTGTCAAACTCTATTAATTCTCTTCACTCATCTTCTTGTCTACCTCTGTGTGCTATTTGGAACGTGGCAACTCGAACTGCTGCACTTCGGTGCCAAGTTCTATGTTGAATCCAGACAGAGAGACAGACACTATGCTGCTGCTCTATAGAAACGTGTGAACACTGATGATAGACACACAAACAGAGTCGACAATACATTAAAGAATAAATTTCTCCAATGCAAAATCAGTACATATAGTCCACATTTAGTGACTAGTTTATCTGTATAACGCTTTTCTAGAATGATTTAAAAAGATCATCTAAATTCACGAGGAAATTTTCTTTCGAAAGTGAATTGATGAGTTCGTAATTCTTATGAATGCAATGATTGACAGCAGTTGAAGGAAAACAAAGCGTGGCCTTCATTTTATCTACAGTGTTTCTTCCTACTCTATGACTAACTAACTAGTGTCCAATCAAAGTATCATTACTACAGTCCTACAGGAGGTCAATGGCGAGCCCGAATAACTCAGTGGTAACGTCTCTGCTTACAGTACGAGAAGGGATATGAATCCCTTCAAGGTTGCAGATATGCCTTGCTGACTGGTGAGTGCCGACATAAGCATCAAACTTAGGTCCAAGGCATCTTAGTGATTGTCTCCAACCTCTTAAGAGATCCATTGTTAGACCTCATAAGAAGTCTGTCAAAAAAAGATCCTGATCCTAAGTTCAAATTGAACTTTAAGACTGAATGACAGTCATCATCATTACCTATTATACATAACTAAGCTAGATGTTGTTTGTCTATGTTAGACACAAAAATATGTCAATAATCATTCTAATAGTGGTTTCATGATACCTGAAGTTTTTGTTCTGAAATACAAGAAGTGATGAAAAAAGAACTTCAACAGAACAAAAATATAAATATTCAGCCTTTGACCAAAACACTACACAGGACAAAAAAATCGAGAGAAATTATTAAGAAATAAATAGAAATATATGTAAGGAAGAATAGTAATAGCAGCCAACCTACATATTTCAATGTAGTTGACTCCAAATAGCTGTCAAAGAATTCATGGATTGATGATATGTTTTGGTTTGACACCACTAAATCTACCATTTTCCCAATCTAATCCTATGATCAGCTAACACTGCTTATCCAGGAAGGCGCTGACTTGGTATGCGTAACACGTGTGTGTCCTAGCCATTCTAATTATTATAGCTTGACAATCCTATTGATTGCCTTCCATTTCCTACCTAACCTCAATAATACTACTCACTATGATATTATATCACATGACACAGAAAACTTTATGGAGTACACAAAAATAAACCCATTTATCATTATTAGATGGTTGGAGGCAATCAACAGGACACCTTATACCTAAGTTTCATGCTTATGTTTTGGATTCGTCAATAGTAGAATGTATCTGTAATCTTGAAGAAAAAACTCATGTCCCTTTTGAGGCTGACACAATCAATGCTGTAGTAAGAAACGTTGCCAATGAGCAATTATTCATACTCATGATTGACCTCTCTCTCCTGTAGGACTGTAGTAATGGACACCTTGATTGGGTATTTTTAATCCTTCACGTTTCCAGTGGAACATAGGGCTTCAAACTAGTGGCTTGAAGTTTCTGTAGTAACGGTGATTATTTTTACAAGATGGGGTTGTTAGCCTCATGCCCAACCTTTCCTCTTTACCAGCATTATTTCTGGCTTAGCGAGGTAAGGGAGGAGGATCGAACCCCGGACTATGTGAATGGTTGGCGAGCGTATTAACCGCTATGCTACCGACGCAGTAACACATATGACATTCCTGGTTCTTTAATTGGCGTAGACGACTGAATTCTACTTGTCATAGAATAAGAAGGGATAAGAGTTCCTTCAAGGTTGTACATAATACACCTTCCTGCCGATTGCCTCTAACCGTCGTGACTTAGCCAGAACCGGGTAGCATAATAGCAAAATTGCAAACTTGACTGATATGAAGTTAGTCTGCAGCTAAAACAAAGGACTAAAGGCACACACACACTCATGACATTAGTTGTTACTAACTACCGTAAGTATTCAATCAAAGAAAAAACCATTTATCACACACACATATATATATATATATATATATATAACTTTAAACTGGACTGATGAAAGCATTTTTATTTCAAATCTATCTAAATGTTTACGTGAAAGAAATTATAACATGGCTAAATCAATTAGATTTTTCTCTATAGAAAAATCGGGGGTTTCTGTCGCTGTAAAATTCCATCTCAGAAACAAAAAGAATAACAATAATAATAATGACGGACTCAAAGGAGAACTTGTTTGAATCAATGTACCACTACTACTACTATGGTGTAGTTCTTTCAAGTATCTTCACTAGATTTAAAGAAGACGTCGAATGCAGCACAAAACGTTTAACAATACATAAACTGTTTAATAATAATAATACATAATCATGATGTTACTTATGAATTAGTCTATGAGGTTGAATTTTTGTATATACGTGCATGTACGTTTGTATGTATGCATGCTAGTTATGTGTGGTGTCTGTGTGTGCTTTTACAGATGAGATGACGACACACCCTAACTAGCTATTCACATCAAAGCCAAATGGAGCGGTGTTTCATGTAAATGTGAATTAAAGTTATATATATATATATATATATATATATATATATATATATATATATATATATAAAGCAAGAAGGAATCTTGTCTAATGTAAAAACCAACAATAAATACAACCGGGGTGGTAGACGAGGAAACATTTCATCATGTTATCTGTATATATATGTAGGAAAAAACACCCCTGAGTTATTCTTAATAATAATAACAATCCACCTGAATGGAATTATATAATACATGAGGCCTATACATACACTGGTGCATGTATGTGTGTGTTCGCGTGTGCGCATGTTTATGAATTCAACATGTGTGTGCGTGTTTTTTCTCTCCAAAGTTATTCGAAGACCTTTTTTTAAAAAAATAGCCGAACATACCCTATAGTATATTAATGATATCGTATGCGAACAAATAAACTCAGAACAACGAACGCCCTAATAGACACACAAACTCACACATACATACACACACGCATATAGATATCTATACTACTGATTAACATATTCAGTATGCACAAACATACATATATACACCCATACTCTGTATTGTATATGCACTAACTACTACTGTAAGATATACAATTATCTAAACAAATGAACAACACATGCCAACAAGCACATTTACACACATGACAATCAACAACAGATTAAATACACACATACACAATAATAATAAACAACTATTGACAATAATAATGATAATAATAACAATAATAATAATAACCATGATGATTACCAATTACACAAACATACATACACACATATATACAGTGTTTATGCACTTGTCATAAACTGTACACGGATGAAGATAAAGGAACCATGATGTATATATATATAAAGAGATATGTATGCCTGAGTATGTAATAAATGATTCAAAAAAGTAGGATGTTGATCACATCCTTGAATGAATGTAGTGTATATCTTTTTATATGAATACCACACTAACTCTTGTGTTCACCACTAATAATAATAAAGGAATATGAAAGGTCTAAGCAAAAAACACAAAACAACAAAACTGACAACCAACAACTACTCGTTAAATAGGCATATCTTGAAGACGACGACGACGAGTAAGGGATAAAAATCAATCACTTTCAAGTTATGAAAGGGGAATCAATCTTATTTTTATTATATGGATATCATGATTTAGTAGCTCTATGTGATTGAGATCAGCCTGAAAGATTCTATTTATGCACAGAAATCATTATGAAGAATAGTGTAGAGACCTTCGGTTACTACGTCTACGTGTCACACAACTGTATCACAGTTCAAATAACCATAATTCGATAGTCAAGATTAAATAGAATGGTACCACCTACAATAGGACTTAGCATAGAAGTTTAAAATTTTCAACCACACGTAGCGTAGCACATCACCTAGACAAACTAACTCTTCCCATTTTCAACACGACTCACTCATACATTTGAGACATTTTTTTACCTTTATTAAATTGAAGGACAGAAAGTGGATGATTTGAAAAGCCTAACTTAACTCGACTACAGATGTTCACGTTCTTCTATCTCACATGCTAAGTGGTATAATATATAGTTAGAAATAATGAGATTAGGCATAGAGTACTAAGGGGGGAGGGAAGCTAATCGATGAGGCTGTGTTAAGGGACACGTGTTGCACATTCCAGGCCACCGCCCTCCTTGTAGAATAATTTTAGCTGACCTGGGGACTGGGTTGAAAAGGTTTAGGAGTGGTCATTAAACGTAAACACATCATCAACCCTGTGAAATCTTAGACAGTTGGTTTGAGATACCTAGAGAGGTGAAGGATGCCTGGTCGAGATTCTCGAGACACTCTAAGAACTAGTACGCTGTAACTCAGTCGGTCAGTAGAAACGAAAGGATGATGAAAGCAAAATACAAGTGAAAAGCTAGATGCGTTTTAAGAAAAGGTACATAAAAAGGGTGTTTATCACCAAGGTGATAACACGTCGGTTAGCGCTAACCTACCTAGTTACTGAAATGCAGTCAGGCTAATTAGGCAACACACTGTTACCTAGATCCCAAAAGTGTTTTACGATATGAATATATAAGATGTTGCAAATACACCAATAGAAGTCAGAGATCACTTGAAGATCTATACTCTTTCAGCAATAAATTGGTAAAACAAATACCTCATTAAACCGTCTAAATTAAAAAATATAGCTACTTGCAGAGAGAGGGAATCAGTAATCACATATAGTTTTATGTAATACATATATATTACTAGGGACAATCTTATATAAATGTACCACTAAAATTTAGGTCTATTTTAAAAAATTAGTTCTTAGTGACTTCGAAGTGAACATTCTTAAGGTCTTTTGAAAATAACTAAACAGACCGGCCTAACAACTTTTTAAAATAGCACTCATAAATTCACAATGAAACTTACTTGTTTTTCATCCAAATTTTTGTCACTGATAATGGCTGATAGTGCAGCTGGAGATAGCATAGGAGGAAATGGAGGTTGTCCAGTTGCTCCATCCAACGGAAACATTAGTGGTCTGGGATTATTTGGATTAGGAAGGGATGTTGAAGTTGGTGAAAAGGGAGTATGAGCTCCAGAACCAGAAGGACCATGATATGGAGCATTTGCCAAAGTGGAGGTGTTAGAAGATATGGGAGGTGGTATAGATGCACCTGTTAAGCAACCGCTGGTCCCAGATGGAAAGGATGTGGTTATATTATTCATATGAGCAGGCATTTGAGAGTAGGGATGATTACTGTTGTTGTTAAGTAGACCACCGGATAAAGGATTAATTGCAGGATTTGTGTTTCCCGGAGGAAAACCTGCAGCAGCTACGGCCGCCATTGCTGCTGCAACTGCTGGGTGAGATTGTGCAAGACCAGATAGGAAAGCTGGGTTATTAGGTCCTGGAATTCCAGGAAGGGATGACTGAACACCAGGAATACTCGAATTGCCTGAAGCACTGCTGTTAGTACATGGGGGAGTGATTGAACTACTCATTTGTGGTAGGAAAGGATTGGGAGGTAGAAGCATATTGTTAGGACCATTGTTGTTTAAAGCAGGAAGTCCACCACTGAGACTGTTGATTCCCGTACATGGTGGCGCATTGAGTCCACCAAGGCTAGTTAAAGATGGTGTAGCTTGAGAACCTCCTCTCGAACCACTCATAGGTAAATTATCAGATGGTAACTGCCCCAATGATGGTGGGACTAGATTGTGGGGAAATGCATTATTTAAACCCCCAGATCCAGAATTCATTAACAGTTGCTGTTGTTGTTGCATAGTCTGTAGTAGGGAGTTAAAAGAATTTTTTAAAAACACTGTTTGTGTAAACAATGTAATTAAAATCATAAAAACTGAAACGGTACACGGAAACAAAAAGAGTAGGAGGGGAGTAATATCCATTGGTTGCAACACCTATAGGAACTACAAATCTTACCTTAATATATATCTACGTTGTAACATATGGCATTTCTGAATATGAATAAGGAATTATTTCAGGCACCGAGGACTAAAAACTTCTATATTTCGAAATGCCGAACGTGAAATAAGACAAAATAGAATGGTGCTAAAGATACGTGGGAAAGAACAGGGGACTTGATGAGGATTAATGATGCTTCGAATTTCAGCAATATAGTGAATAAATCTCGAAATAAGATGAAGGATTACTCACCAGCCACCTTCATTCCTACATGTATGGTGATTGGTTACAAATGCTGTGAGGGATAATAATACTACTTAGTTGTCAAACGTTGGAGGATGAAATGGGGTTTGAACCCATGGCCACGTTGACGACAGTCATATGACCATGCAAGTGAGTAAAGGTTCGATAATTTCGAGCCATATAATCAGGCGTCTTTAACTAGTGATTCTCAGCAACCCTTGATTTTCAACTTTCATAAAGTTATTTTAAACCGCTCACGAAACAATTTTTGAAAATACAGTATTGAAAAATATTGTATGTTTACTCATAAGGGTTGCAAAATATCATTGCTTATTTTAATAACTTAAAGTACTGTGGGAAGTAATTTAGTTGACTGTTATCATGGAAACACTACTTTTCAATAAAAAGGACAAACAGAAACTTCTATGTGAGTACTGTTACAAATCAACGCACCATACATAGATGTTGAGAACCCACTATAGTCAGCTATAGCTGACTGACAGACGCAGAACATAGTATAGGAGTGCATCAGTTTTAGTTGCAATAATTTGAGAAAACGGACATTTTAAAAGAACTGAAGTGGACAGTACATGGCAGAAATAATTAAATGAAAATTACCTTAACTAACAAGGTGTGGATATATGCGCCATTGTGAACAGTTTTAAGACATCGTTCCAACAGTAACTTATCACTATGTCCAAGTATCTTAAGGACTACTACGCCTTTCAGACTACCAGTGAATGGACTCGTGAACTTCTTATCTAAATTAACCCTATTACACTTCGCACTGATCATGGAACACGACAGACAGAATGTGCAACATATATTCTATACCATGACGAACTGTTATATGCTGTACACGTAACTGGATAGCCATTAGGATACCGTGCATGCACTAAGGACGATTTCAGCTGGCAAATAAAGGCGTTCTTTGACATATATATATATATATATATATATATATATATATATATATATATATATATATATATGGGAATTTTTCCGGCTGTTAATCCTTTGGAGCAACTTCCCAAATAGGTGAAGAAATCAAGACCTTTAGTAATTCCACTTTTTATCCTTAAGCCAAAATTTCATGCAAATTAATCATATAGCATCATAATAATTTTGATAGATGCAACTTGCATGTTAACTATATTCAGATTATTATTGGATTTTCGGAAAACTTCACAGGTTTCACCCAAACGGACATCACTCGCAAGGAAATCAGGAAAATCTTGTCTACATAGAAGGTCGACTCTGAAAACGTTGGAACTGCAAACACAAAACATCCAGAGGAAATATAGCAATATTTTGGTAAGCTACGGACTTTTAGTTATAGCGTTTGGATAAAGATGCAGACACCTCTACATTACATTTGTCTTTTCTGAAATGTAGCATTTAGACTCTGACCGTAATTCTCAGCAATCATATATATTCATCTCATGACTCATATTTCAAGATATTATTCAATGACATCTGTTCACTATAGCCAAACAGAGAAACATTAGTACGGAAACGAAACCATTCTCCAAGAGACACATAACTTCCTCTAGGTACATTGATGAAAGAAAAGAAATTCGTATGATGCAGACGAAAAAGAAGTACGTCTAGTTCGGAAATCATACACAACAACATTCTAGTTTGGAAGGAAATTAGCCGTAAGCATATTAATTTTAAACAATTAATTCACACTTATTTTAAGGCATTATCAGGGATAAGTAAAATGATAAACTAGTATACGTTGTGCTACATAATATATATATACGTATATATAGAGAGAGGGAGATTCCAGTCATTAAAATAAAGATAATAGAATACTTGCTCACCTTGAAGAAGTCCATTTGGTCGAATGGAGAACCAAGAGCCCCATTGAGAAACTTTGGGCCTTTAGAATCATCTAGTTGCGGCTAAAAACGGTTAAGTGACTAACATTTAGCTTACCCCTATAATGCTACTAAGTTCTGACAGACTTATTTGTTTCGCACGATCAACTGCTGCAGCAACTTGAGATTGATGCTAAGAACAATAATCGACTTGTAATCCAACAAACCTCTTGTGATAAAAATGGAATGACCTGTACTAGTATTGCATTCAGGCGCTTTGCGATCTCCATCTGCAAAAGTTTATAAATCAAAATGTAACCAACCTGTTTATGCATTTCAACATTTAGTCCGTAAGTAATCTCATAGTAAAGTAAGTAGTGCCGCTGCAATTCAGCTTTTTCTTGCGCGGCCTTCTCATACTCGCACTTCAAACTGCAGAAAAAAATATGCGAAAACCAATTCCATACCTATGATACTGAGATTGTAAATTCAGAAGCTCATCCTTTATTTTGTCACAAGCTTCAGGGACGGAGAATTTCGCATGTTGATTACTTTGAGAAGATGACTTAACAAGTAACATTGGACCAAATAAAACAACTTACTGAAATTCGAGAAGGATACATTAAAAGGATGAAATATCAACTTTTATTGATTAAGTACATAAGACCCATCAAAAACCACCGACAGCACGGACAACCAGAAGTGGCGGGCACTATATCAATAATATATCGCCCCACTTTGAGATATATAAACAAATGCAATTAGGAAAAGATATTACTTAACGTATATGTTCTGCAAGCTGTATCTGTCGATTTTCATAGGTACTTTAGCATGCAAAGAGAATACTGCTTTAGTAAAAGTCACAGGATAGAATAGCAATTATAACACATCATAGATATCTCTCAAATTAAATGCATCTTCCATAGGATGTGGAAACATTCTAGCCTATAACACACAATTAAGTGCACTAATAATTCGGTTCAAAGTTTCACAAGATAGCAGTCAAGGCATAAGTCCTGAAAGTAAGCTACTTATTTACCCGAGGTTTTCTGTTGAAAACAGATTTTGACATATATCATAGAGTGTAGGATTTTACTGTCTTATTGCATTCGGTAATTTAAAGATTCTTATTGTAGAAGGCTCATTATTTATAGCTTTCCAGTGTTAGGTTAAAATGTTTGCGCATCTCTGTATGACTGGTTAACAGATTCTTCCCCCAAACTAAAGTCAAAAACAACCTCAACCATTTATATCCACCATGAAAACAAATTTATGTAATTTAAATAGTTCTTATCCATGCCTGCGTTACATTTTCCTTATTAATAAAAACTCTCGTTTCTGTAAAATTTTATGCCAAGAGTTTGTGGAAACTACCACAATTATTTGCCTTTGAACACTGAATCCAAGAATACAATCTTATTGACAGATAATACACATAACTAACTATTTGGATTTGTGGAATTTTTAAACATAAACACATCTATAATTGTATATATTGTTGGATTTGCATGTTCAAGTTGCTCCAAGTCAGCGAGTTTATGGTTGAGATATCATTTTAGTTAACTGTGGTGAACTATATTGCATGTTGTTGTATTGTATAGTTGTTGTCGTTTTTTGCCCTTTTTTTGTGAACTGTTTCCTTTTGTTGGTGTTGTTCTCATTGTTTTGTCCGTTATTTTCCGATTTTGAGGGGAGCAGCCCAAAAAGTCGCTTCTCTCTGAACTTCATCTTAATGTAACAATTCCTTTCTCAGGCGTGAGGCTAGCAACCCCACCCTGTAAACAAAAACTGCTACAGAAACTTCAGCACGATGAACCTCTTTGCACCGAAAGAAAAAGTCTGTGTGGGGACATGGAACGTCCGCACTATGTACGAGACTGGGAAAGCTGCCCAGATCGCAAACGATATGAAAAGATACGGAATCCAAGTGCTGGGAATATGTGAAAGCAGATGGAATGGGAGTGAACTGACCAAATTATCAACGGGTGAGTCAGTGATCTACTCCGGTCACCCAGAAGATAACCACACGCACACCGAGGGCGTGGCTATCATGATGTCACCAACGGCAACGGAAGCCCTGATGCAATGGGAGGCGATTTCGTCCATGAAAATGACCGCCAGATTCAACTCCAAAGGAAGGAAAGTTTCAATCATACAATGTTATGCACCGACAAACAAACCAGACCTCGAAAAGAAAGAAGCATTCAACAGACAACTACAGGCAACAATGGACAATACTCCAGCTGGCGACATGAAAATACTTATGGGAGACTTGAACGCCGAACTGGGACCAGACAATACAGGAAGAGAACTCATCATGGGTAGAGAAGCTCTCGGAGAAATGAATGAAAACGGAGAACTCTTCGCCGACTTCTGCACCTTCAACGAACTAGTGATTGGTGGCAGTGTATACAAGCACAAAGATATCCACAAGGCCACATGGGTGTCACCAGACGGGCAAACCAAAAACCAGATCGACTTCATCTCAATGTTGCTCAAGGAAGTGAAGGCGCAGCCTACTGGACACAAAAGCAAGAAGAGGAGCAGACGTTGGCTCAGAGGACATTTTTATTGCAAACATAAGGGAAAAAGCCGAGACACAAATCAACATCAGCGAAAAGGTCAGCGTCGAAAAGCACTGGAACAACTTGAAAACGGCGTGGAGTCAAACCTGCATGGACGTTCTGGGCAGAAAGAAGAGACAGGACAAACAGTGGCTCACTACGGACACTGAAAAACTAATAGAAGAGAGAAGGACAGTGAAACAAAAGATTATCCAGTGCACCGACGAGCAACAAAAACAGGAGTTGAATGCAAGCTACAATACACTGAACACAAGAGTGAAGAGGAGTGCCAGGGAAGACAAAAGAAAATATTATGAAACCATGGAAAGTGAAGCAGAACAAGCTTTACGCAAAGGAGACCTCCCCACACTCTACCAAACAACTAGGCACCTTTCGGGGAAATGTTCGAGACCGATTAAGCCAGTGCCAACGCAGTTGAAGATTGAACGATCAATTCACGGTTGTTTGCTCAAAACCAACTTCCCCGATTTTCGCGGAGGCATCGATACGACAGTCATCGTCTCATCGGTCGCTGTTCAGAAAGAAGTCAGTATAAAACCGTCAGAAGTAATATTGTGATTCATTATTGTAATATTTGTTCACAGACCTTAGTGGAAACATTGTTTATTTGTTGGTGTTACAATAAAGAATTCTCGAGTGGCCAATCTGTGTTTCGGTTTTTTCGTCCGTTATTACTAGGCGTTTCTGAGAAACTTCAAGCGACAGCGTGAGCACGGGCGTAGCAAGAGCTGGGCATAAACGGTTTACGAGACGTGGCTGACAGCCAGTGAATGATGACAATGGAAAGTCAATCACCAAAGAAGTGGAGCAAAGAGAACACTGGGCTGAACACTTCAAACGACTTCCAAATCGACCGCCACCTACAACGCGCCCAAAAATACCAACAACGGAAGCAGAACTACCAGTGAACATTGACCCCCCGACAAAATCAGAAGTCCTGAATGCCATCAAGATGCTAAAAACTGTGAAAGCACTAGGACCAGATGGAATCCCAGCAGAAGCATTGAAAATAGACCCAGAGACAACAGCGGACTCGATGACACCACTACTGGAGAAGATGTGGAAAAAGGGCAAAGTACCCGAGGATTGGAAGAAAGGATACTTATTCAAACTACCAAAGAAAAGAGACTTAAGTCCATGTAAAAACTGGCGTGGAATTATGCTTCTGTCCGTTCCAAGCAAAATACTAAGTCGCATCATCCTGGAGAGAATCAAACAAGCCCTAGATGAAAAACTTCGTCCGGAACAGGCCGGATTCAGGAGAAACAAATCATGTATTGATCAAATCGCCACTCTACGGATCATCATTGAACAAAGCTTGGAATGGCAGTCACCTCTCTATCTCAACTTCATCGACTTTGAGAAGGCCTTCGACAGCGTCGATCGAGAGGTGATTTGGAAACTACTACGGAGTACCGCCGACAATTATACATCTCATCCAACAGCTATACGACAATGTTGCATGCCAAGTAATCCACAACGGGAAACTTACGGAAGCCTTCGAAGTGAGGATGGGAGGGAAGCATGGCTGTCTACTATCACCAATGATCTTCCTGATTGCAATCGATTGGACAATGCGACGGACAACGGCAACAAAAGAGGGAACAGGCATAAAATGGACTCACACAAAAGACTTGGAGGATCTGGATTTCGTCGATGATATATGTCTGATTTTCCACAAACTGGAAGATATGCAAATGAAAAGCAACAAGTTGGCAGAAGAAGCACCCAGAGAAGATAGGATTTCAAGTGAACATACATAAAACAAAGGTGATGAAGATTCCAGGCCAACATCAACAACAACAACAGACAACAATCAGCATAAATGGGAGGAACCTGAAAGAAACAGCCTCTGTCGGCCACGACACGTAAACCATTTATGCCTAGCTCTTGCTACGCCCTGGCTCACGCTGTCGCTTGAAGTTTCTCAGAAACGCCTAGTAATAACGGACGAAAAAACCGAAACACAGATTGGCCACTCGAGAATTCTTTATTGTAACACCAACAAATAAACAATGTTTCCACTAAGGTCTGTGAACAAATATTACAATAATGAATCACAATATTACTTCTGACGGTTTACTGCTCACTTCTTTCTGAACAGCGACCGATGAGACGATGACTGTCGTATTGATGCCTCCGCGAAAATCGGGGAAGTTGGTTTTGAGCAAACAACAGTGGATTGATCCTTCAATCTTCAATTACATTGACACTCCCCGGCAAAAAAGGGATCCATCCCTATTTTTCTTCACGACCAATACACGTTTACTTGGATGCCATTGCGAGAACCTGGGTCACATGGACAGAGCTGAAATGGAAAACAGACAGAAAAGCCAACACATCACAAGCATACTCACAGCACAATCTCACACATCAATGACGACCTGCGCCTTCCATTTAAAGGCATCCTCTTGCAACACAATCTCCACTTGCTAGAATGACTCTTTCAGAATGCAACGTGACCATAGCACCACCTCATGATACTCTACGCACAACCTCTTATCTACTCACTACCAATTACCACTGAAATCGCTTGTCACTCATTCTGCCTCAGTTCTAGTAACGGTGACGTATGCGAGCCTCAGTCGTTTACACTCTTTCTCCCCGGCGTATACGACCCATCTGCTGTCTCTAACATCAATCAATTTATTCACGGATGTAGAAGACAAGAAACAACTTCAGAAGTAATCACGACGAAAATTTTAACAAAATTATGCAATAGAAACAAGATATAAAGACAACAAGTGAACACAATGAATCCAAAAAACACCAATTGATTTGACACATCACACATATATACAAACAGTACACACAAACTCACGGATCATGTCCCGATGGAATTCCTTTGAAGAATCGCAGAACTTACACCAGTACGCCTACAACCCTTCACAGGTTGACGCCCTAGGTTGGAAAATCGTCGCAGAGTTCATTTGCTGACTTCCCTCTATCAGCTATATCCTCAAATCTGAACGGTAACACGCTCATGTCATTGTATCGTAGAATATAGATGACGAACAAACATACGACGTATCTGGTCAACCAAGCGTAGAAACAGAGTAATTTACACCAAAGATAATAACATTCAATTAGTAACTTGAAACTAGAAATGCCTTTATTCATGCAAGTCAATTTAACAATTACTCTCTCGT